CGGAGAGCGACAGAGAGACAGAAAGCAAGAAATCACCCCCCGGGGGATGGCCATGCCACAATCCCTTCTCCTCCATTCTCCTCTCAGGATCTTAGGCATGCATGCACATGTGCCTGGCGTGAGTTTAAGCCACCAGGTCTGGGATTCGAACCATGGTTGACTACATGGAGATCCAGCTACATAGCCATTATGCCAACTGCTGGTCCCACTTGTATTTTTCAAGCCACTCGGTCCAGGACTCGAGCCAGTTGCCTTAACCATCATAGAACCTGCCTGGCCCATTATTTTGACTGTGAACAACAGACTGTCTGCCCACAGGAGGTAGCAATACCAGGCCTGCAGGCATATTGGCATCATTTTCTCTTATTTTAGGAATTGGTTTTTAAAGTCACATTTTTATCTTTTTAAAATTCTTTCATTTTTAAACATTTCTTTGTTCACCTCTTCTACAAAAGAGAGAGAGAAAGAAGCAGACATGAAAGCACTCCAGTAAGGGTCCCCATGCCACAATCCATCGTCATTCTCAGCTGGCCTGGCCTGGCCTGCCCAGGGAGGGCCCAGGACACAAACTCAGACAGCAATGCAGGACCTTTCCCACGTGGTCTAGCTGCATTATCGCTTTGCCACCACCTGGCCCCATTACAGCCAGAGTTTTAGATCTTGCTTTCAATTATTCATGTGCCCCCCAAGGATATTTTCTTTTCACCTAAATCCTCTTTTTTTTTTTTTGCTATAGGGCGCGTGCACTCTCCAGACAGACAGAGACAAAGAGACAGAAAGCGAGAAATCACCCCCCCCCCAAGGGGAGATGGCCACACCACAATCCCTTCTCCTCCATTCTCCTCTCAGGATCTTGGGCAGGCACGCACACGCGCCCGGTGTGAGTTTAAGCCACCGGGTCCGGGATTCGAACCGCGGTCGACTATGTGGGAGTCCAGCAACATAGCCATTACACTAACTGCTGGTCCCTAATCCTTTTTATTTATTTATTTTTTGATCACTTTAAATTTGGAATCTTTTCTACCCATTAATGTAATCCTAAAGGTCCATAATATTAATAAACCAGAAAAGCAAGGGAAACCACTTCAGGCCTGCCAGGCTGAAACCAAAGTACTGGGTCATCGGGAAAGTCAAGACACATTTCTACATAGAAAAATACCTCCTGACCTTTCCAGCAACCTAACAGTATAATTCCACGGACAGGATCCTTTTCACATTGTTTTCATTGTTGGTTCATTGTATTAACTACTACTGGAAATATTATACTTGCCGCAGGTCTCACATGAAACTTTATAACTTCTCCAGCAAAATGTAAGCGTAGAAGAGTACTTAGGGGGGCCAGCAGGTGGCGTGGTGGTTAAGGCGCTGGAATTCTCACATGGCCAACCACAGTTCAGGTCCTGAACCTGGTGGCTTGCTCTCTCCCTCTCTCTCTCTCTCTCTCTGGCAAAACTCATGTGAAAATAAATAAATAAATACATAAATAAATGAATAAAATAATTATTTAAAAAAAGAGTACTTAGGAACAACTAACCCAAGAACATCAAACTCTTCTTTGTAAAGAAGTTAAAAAACAGTCCACGTTGTGATAATTGAGTAGTTATACTGTATTCCTTATTTTTGTTTTTGTTTCTGGAATTAAAGTGAATAAAAGAAAGAAAAACTATGCATTTGGAAAAATCTGTACAAACTTAAATTACCCAAAATGAAATTATACTGAGCCAGCTGTGCGTTTCGTATTTTCTTATTGAGTGTACAGCTTTGATCTAAGTCAACATCAGCCATGAATCCTTCTTCAAAAAATTCACTGGATACCTGAAAAGAAAGGAAATACTTATTACTACATGACTGATGGCAGCTAGCCTCCACAAGGACCCCAGTATCCCCCCACCTCCTGGGAATCACACCTTGGTGGTTCCCCCACACCATATCAGAGTTGGTCTGGAGAAGGGCGCAAGTAGTGGTCAAGTTCTCCCAAGACTAGGTTAGAGGGACCAGGAGTTAGCGTAATGGCTATGTCACTGGACTCCCATGTAGTCGACCGCGGTTCGAGACCCGGACCCAGTGGCTTAAAACTCATGCCAGGCGTGTGTGCGTGCGTGCCCAAGACCCCAAGAGGAGAATGGAGGAGAAGGGATTGCGGCATGGCCATCTCCACTGGGGGGGTGATTTCTCGCTTTCTGTCTCTCTTGTCTCTCTCTCTCTGTCTGTCTGGAGGCCACGTGCCCTACAACAAACCCCTCACCAAAAAAAAAAAAAAAAAAAAAAACTAGGTTAGAAAAGACTACGAATCTCATCCTTCTTGAATCGCTCTCTGGAGGAAACCAGCTGCCACAGGGTGAGCATGGTTAGGTGACACACAAGGAAGCCCATGTACTGAGGAACTGAGGTTTCCACCAATGACAGGAATGAGTCCTGAGGATTGCAGCCTGAACCTAAGGCCTGATCGCAGCCTTGTGGGACACACTGCACCATAAATGTTGTTTTTTTGTTTTGTTTTAAATTATGTTTTCACCATAGGGCATGTGCACTCGCTGGAGAGAGAGAGAGAGAAAGACAGAGACAGGGAAAGTGAATAATTGCCATCCCCTCAAGGGAGGATGGTCACACAGCAATCTCTTCTCCATTCTCCTCTTGGGATTTTGGGCACTCATGTACGGCAGTGTGATTTTCAAGCTGTAGGGTCCAGGACTCAAACCGCAATCAACCATGTGGGAGTCCAGAGTTTTAACCACCATGCCACTTGCTGGCCCCAATGGTGGTTTTTTTAAGTGCTATGTTTTGGGGGAATTTGTTACATAGTAACAGATAATAAACTATCCTCCTTTAAAAGAGCCATGTGAAGGTGCCAGCAGGTGGCATGGAGGTTAAAGCGCTGGATCCCACGTGGTCAGTTTTGTGGTTCAAGTCCTGAACTTGGTGGCTTTAGAATCACACTGTGTGTGTGTGTGTGTGTGTATGTGTATGTGTGTGCATGCGTGTGCCCAAAATTCTGAGCAGAGAATGGAAGAGAAGGGATTGTACGCAGTGGGGCCATCACCCTGGGGGGTGATTTCTTACTTTCTCTCTGTCAAGTTCACACACTGTATGGGAAAAAAAAAAAGGAAGAAATGAAAAAAGAAAAGAAAAGAAAAGAAAAGAAAAAGCCATGTGGAAAATAAGTTAACTGTGAGGGAGGTGTGAGGCACCTGAAAATCCTAACTTGGCCTAACATTAAGGTAAAAAAAAAAAAAGAATTATTTTATTTAACTTTGTTTATTATTATTATTTCCCAGTTTGATGAGAGAGAGTGAGAAAGCAAGTCACCAGGTCTGGGACTTGAACCGTGGTTGACCAAGTGGGAGTGTCCAGCGCCTCAACCACCATGCCACCTGCTGGTTCCAAAAACATTAAGTTCTGATCCAGCTACATAGCTATGTAGAAATAATCCACTGCTCATTAAATTAGTATGTTAGCTATGCAGTATTTTTAAGTATGAGTGACCCTCTAAGTCAGTGATCTACAAAGAATATATAGCAAGATTACTGGGGACTTCAGGGTCTCTGGATCTACCTGAAGAGCATATTCTTCACAAGTGGGTCCCACAGGGATGACCATAACTTGACGGGGAGACAACCAGAAGGGCCTGAAAAATATAGAAGATAGGCAATTTCAAAATCTAATAATGACCACTTAGGTGATTAGAAAATAACCAAAAATTAAAAAAAAAAAAAAAATTTAAAGGGCACCACAAAGGGCTGGTTAAGGCAGCTGGATCCCATATGGCTGACTACATGGTTCAAGTCCTGGACAAGACATCTTGAATAATCTCTTCTCCTCCATTTCTCAAGCTGTCTGGTCCAGGATTTGAAGCATGCAGTCAGCCATGCAGGGTATGTGTGTGTATGCCCAAAATCCCAAGAGAAGAAGGGACCATGGCATGACCATCCTCCCTGGCGGGTGCTTTTTCAATCCCCCCCACACACACACACACTCTGGTGAACACATACACCTATAACAAAACTGAAAAACAACCACCAGAAAAAGATTTCACAAGATAGCAGTAGCAATAGAATGATGTGGAAGCACACCAAACTACATTAACAAGTGTTAAAAAGAAAGAAAATAGGGGGTGGCAGGTGGCATAGTGGTTAAGGGGAGCTGGACTCCCACATGGCTGACCATGGTTCAAGTCCCGGACCTGGTGGCTTGCTTTCTCACTTTCCCTTTCTCTCTCTGTCCTTCTCTGATCAAATTAAAATAACTAAAGTTAAATAATATAACTCATTTTTTGTTAAAAAGGAATAGAGTAGACAAAAAGGGAATTTTTTCCCTAACAATTTTATCTCGTTACAACTTTTTTTTGTTTGTTTTTAAGGTTTTTGGCATAGGGCATGTATGCTTACTAGAGAGACAGAAAGAGAGAGGGGGAAAGTGAGAAATCATCTCTTGGCAGGTATAGTCAAGCCACAATCCATTCTCCTTCATTCTCCTCCCGGGATTTGGACACACACATACATGTGCCTGGCGTGATTTTCAAGCCACCAGATCCGAGACTCAGACTGCTGTCAGCCATGTGGGAGTCCAGAGCCTTCACCACCATGCCACTTGCTGGCCCCTCGACATGATTTTTAAGAAGCAGCTAGTGGCCTGGGGATTAAGGCAGCCCTATTCCACATGGCCGACTGCATGCTTCAAATCCTGGACCTGACAGCTTGAAAAATGGAGGAGAAGGGATGCAGCATGACTATTCCCCACGGGGTGTGTGTAGGGCTGCTTCCTCACACTCATTATCTCCCCCCAACTCCATCTTTCTGGAAAATTTAAAAAAATAAATAAAAAGAAACAGACATACAGTTGTTTTCTAACCACTTACCATTTCCCACCGTAGTTTTCTGAGAGAATGGCTATCATTCTTTCCACTGATCCCAAAATGGCTCGGTGAATGATCACGGGTCTCTTCTTATCGTCTCCATCCTTACTAAAAAAAAAAAAAAAAAAAAATGATCTATGTAAAATTTTTAAGA